CAGAAGAAAAAGATGCGACCACTGGAACAAGAGTTTTATTTTTCTGACGTTTCCGATTCCGTCGGGAATCCTTAATCATAGGTAATGGCATGATAGTCGGAGCCATGCGCAGATAAGAGTGAAACATGCACGCAATTACCAAGCCCGCATCCAACACGGACAATCAAATCGCAGCCATAAAGGAGTCGAACACGGAGACGGACGGATAATCATAGTACGCACGCGGATGACCGCTACGGACTACAAATATCGTTCACTCTGTGCATGTTTCACCCTTATCTGCGCATTACTCCGATTATCCTACAATTGCCTATGATTAAGGATTCCGGGCGGAATCCGAAACGTCAGGAAAATAACACTCTTGTTCCAGTGCTCGCATCTTCTTCGTCAGAGAAATGAAAAATTCTAAAAATTCTACACGCCCCAAAATGCAAAAAGGCAAATGTACAGAACTGCTTAGCCACCAGTTAACCATACCCCAACAATAGTAATGGTGACACTGTAATGTGTATGATCCCTACAGGGCTGAGATGACGAGCCCCTCACCAAGAGTTAACACAAAACCTGAAACAGTTTTTGTGCGAGAGTCAGCCAACAAGCACATAATTGAAGTGCAACTGCAGTGAGTCTTGGTTAATTGCTATCTGATAATCCTCGAAATGCATCTTAGACAGATTCCGGAACGTGAAACGTAAACCAACTAATCAAACTACTGAGTCAAATTCTTCCGAATTCGTATTGGATATCACCCTTTTAGCATATAGCAGGGCCCTAAAAAAAACAAGTATTTTTGTTGTAGACGGCTGCTCACCGATCGGATATGGTGTAGGAGTCTAAGCCGAGAGTGTGCTCAGAACACTGCACTACACTAGACTATCGCGCCCAGTTCCGCACAGGAAGAAGAGGTATAAGACCAGTAGGAGTTTTTTTTATTGTGTACAGGAACTCAGTGGTGGTCTGAATCGCAGACGCGCGGAAAGCCGCGGGCCCTGTGCGTGCGCGCGCGTGTCCGTCTGTTAGTGTACTGTGGGTGTAAGTAAATAAACGTCATGCGAGAGTGAGTCACTGGACGATCGATCAACTACTGGGCCATTAGAAGTCTACGGCACCTGTGATTGGCTGGCCCAAAAGGAGGTAGAGTGGTGAAGTCACGTGCGCTTTGCGGACTTAGCGCCAGCGCTACAATGGAACTCACGCCTTTGGGCTTGCTCTCGAGTGCCACCAACAGCCACTTAATTGGTGAATGACGTTATCAAGACAGACAAGACGGATCAGAAAATACCACCTCTGGTCTTTAAACCAGGTAGCATTTTTCTAAAAATACTTGCCTTTATCCAGGCTTTAAAACGACGGAAAATACAAGCTACTGCAATACTGATTTTCCTTTCGGATATGTATAAAAAGGTCAATAGAAATACGCTTAACTAAAATCCTACGACGTCAAAGGTATGTCCGTTGTTATTCGGCACGACGCGTTAACTACGGAAAACTTCACAATATAAAGGCGCATTGCGGATCATGTTTCACATGGTTCTGGCCGCTCGGCGTTTCCAAACCAGACCAGCCGTAAGAACGTAGATATCTGTCATTTTTTATCTACGGCAGAGCCTCAGGTGGGGAGCATTTAAGGTAACGAGCAAGCCACTGGCAAAACACTTGTCTCGCTTGACGAGCTTCCACTCGGTTAACGAATTGTTGGTGCGTGTGCCTGTGTCCGCCGTTGAGTCTTGCTCCCAGGGCGTGGTGGGTCCTCAGTCACCTGCAACCAATAAGTGAACCGATGCTCTTTTTTGTCTACGTTTCACGAGTCGAGTGTTCCACATGACGAGCTCGGTACCGGAAAGGATTAAACTTAACCGAGGTTTTCATTGTATTTCCAAGCGCAAGATGTTGCCATTGTTAAGACTGTCAATTACTCAAACAGCAAACGACAAATAGGACTAGCCGACCATGACCGACCAATAGGATAAATTCGTTTTAAATGTGTGGACTCACTTGTGATGAATTGACGAACACAGGTCAAAGCGCTACCGGCCAGCCAGTAGAATAATTTTCCACTTTGAGAAAGAATGTGCATGTGGGTTATTGATCCGGAAGTAATTCCAGGGTGCGATAAGGAAGGAGTCTGCAACAGCAGTCGGACATAGGAGTCTTTTTGGTTGTGGGACTGGGAGTTAGGAGGGGGAAGGTGCCATTATGGCGGGCGGGGGACAGAATTGGTTTGGGTATAGTTGAGGCAAGGCTTCTCAGGGCCAGATATCGAGGATGCATTCAAGAATGCTGACCATCTTCCTTGACTCAATCAGCGAAGGCTCCATGTCCTTCGCGGCCTCCGGTGAGGGGTGGAGAAGAACGGGTGCCAGGCAGACGGCCAAATTGTGCGAGTTCATCTTATTCACCATTGACTTGCTGGTGATCCGTTTTAGATGGTCCAACAGGTAGAGCAAGACTTCCTGAAAACACACAGCAAGATCAGAAACCATTTTAGCTGTTAATGAAACGATTTTGTGGAGGATTTTAGTACCCTAATTTAACGAGGATACGGGTAAAGATGTTTAAATATATCAGCTTCGATGACCCATTTTACCATCAGATCAACGAAAGAGAAATTGAGCATCGATTGATCCCCTAATAGCGGTTGTAGTCATGTGGAAACTGGGTAAAAAAACCAACTCATATTTGCTACAGAAGGTACCTCGATTCCTGTGCTTCATATGTTTCTGACGTTTTTTATATCATCGGGGGAACTGGGCTTGGACACCCTCCCAGACAAGGCTGGTCAAAATCATTGGGGCATAATCTCCCTTTAGAAAACGAGGAGTAAGAGCGTCTTACTTTCCAGACATCTTACCAAGTAGAACGTACGATGAAACAGTTCTTAAAAGTGTATTTTGCAAACGCAGATGGACAAGGCACAGCACGATTTTCTGCACTTTTGACCCTCAAGGCCAAAAACTATGTTTAGTTAGCTTGCTTACTAACCGATCTAGCAGAATTTGTAGTGCACATACGCGGAGAGAAAACTCATTCTTATAAGAAACACGGCAAAAATGGTCCTTCAATCAGTTCATCACGAGATATACAGATGACGATTATCTTCCCACACGCTGACCTACCGTAGAACCTTGTGTTAAATATCGTTTTGAGTTAGCCGTTTTTGCAACAGTTTAATGACGAACTGGGGAGCCAGACTGGAAAATTCACACAATAACCATTATTCCTTCCTAAAGGACTTTACAGTTAACTATATATATCGCTTGAAATGCCGATATTTCAGTATATGCAGGTAAATGTCCGTCATAAACGGACGTGTTGATGACTGAAAAAAGCTACCTCTCACATTGCCGTTTCGCTGACAACCAGTAAGCAAACTTTACCTTTCGCTTAAACTCTGTTGCAGCGTGTATAAATTCAGCCGCCAAGATAAGACCTCTATTCTCAAGTACTCCGCTTATATGCACGGAAGAAAAAGACAGGCTGCACTTCCGGACTTGAAAGGTAGGTTACATTGGCCGAATGATTAGATACCTGACAAAACCCATATAAGAATACCATTATGCTTTTTGAATCAAGACCTGGAGTAGTTCATGCCTAGCGCTATTGTGGCCAGTGGTCACTGGGTGGACTTCAAACAAACATTTTAAATCATCATCCATAACGTTCTGTTGTAGCATTCGAACCTTTTTTACCCTTTTTACCCCGCCACGCCCCTGAAAACCCTGCTGCAAGTATCCATGGTTTCTTTAATGTCTAAACGTTCTCAACCCTCTCCCCAATGACTGCTATACAAAGGCCGTTTTAACTTTTGTTGCCTGGTGTAGACTGTCTTATATTATTGTACTGGTCAAATGATGGATATTCGAGAACCTACTTCCTTCGAAATTGGCATATGCAATGGTTTCAGAAATATCATCGCATAAAAAATATTCAAACAACTAGACCGGGCGCAATGATCGCCGTGACTGATTCTAAGTCTAAGGATGTCACACATATACTGATCAATGGATACAAAGGAATCACATATTATGTGGTCAGGAGTCGTTAGAACGATCGCTATCAGAAGAAGTCATTGCATTCAACCTTAAATGCGAAGGAAGAACGACAAACGCTGTTAGGCTGTACATTTTTGTGACGTCTGTTGGGACACTGTGTTAGCATGAAACGCGCAAACTGAATATTTTGAGGAAAAAAGTTGATGGATCTACAGTGGGTCAACCTAATTTCTGCTTCCTATCTACAAACTAGCGAAATGTTCAAACGAATTCCAGTGAAGATGGAATAAGTTGCAGTGGGTGATATGCAATCCTTTGCTAACACAAGCGAAATGCGATTCCTGGGAAGTAATTGAGAAGTAGAAGACGATTTGATCGCTGGGATAATATGTTCATTCGCCTGATGTTTTGAGCTTCGTCGAGAATAATCGATAAATGACGCAACGAATCAGCGCACACTGAAGGCATTTATCGATTTTTTATGTACGTTTAAATTTTACAGAAAAACCCTGTGCACACACAAACTGTTTCTACAACTGTTCTGTGAGTATTATTTAATGATGAATC